AAAAAAAAAGCCGGACTCTGAAGCGGCACCATCATGTAACTGCAAAGAAATGGACAAAATTTCAATGTTAAGCCATTCGTAATCTGTGATGCATGCTACACTCTTAAATACATGTTCCCTGGCCAGGCATGGTGGCGCATGCCTGTAATCCCACACTTGGGAGGCTGAATTCAGGATTCAGGCTGATTCAGGATTGCTTTGAATTCAGAGCCAGCCTGGGCTACATAGTGAGTTCAAGGCCAGCCTGAGAGACCCTGTCTCAATGAACATATGAATGAATGAAAGAAAATATATGTTCTCTCAATTATAGCTCACAGCCCTCTGAGTGCACTAAACAAGCTGAAACTTATCACATACTACTACTAAGCTTTGATGTGCTGCTTCTCATATTGAAGTTCCTTGTCTTTCCATTGCATGGTACTTGGCCACAGCAGTCATCGTATTTTTTTAATCGCACCCCATATACTCCAGTGCAGTTTTTATGACTTTCATTTTTAACCAAGTTTCCAGTTGGAACCATATAACAGCCTGTGTGTGTGTGTGTGTGTGTGTGTGTGTGTGTGTGTGTGAAGCTGGAACCTTTTTAGTGATAAAGAAATATTTTAACCAGAAAATATTAGGGCCTTTTTCTATCTGGCTACTTTAAGAGAAGAATGAAAGGCTAATTACAAAAACCACAGTTTAATTTCTCTTCCTGCAAAGTAGCCCTAGATGTGTAAGGTAAACGAGGTCAGGCTTGAAACCCCAAGGACACTTACTCCTTCACTTACTGTACTTGGCATTTTCTGTAGCCCTGTTCTGTGAGTACAGCGACTTGTAGTTAAGGGGTTAAATTGCATAGCAAAGTAAACTGGAGACAGGAGGGGAACTAGACGAAGGGACTGACTTTCTGGTAAAGGTGCCAGTGCCAGTATTTATGGTGATTGTACAAGGGTGGCCCCTAAGCCAGACTGGCCCCAGTTCAAGGTGTCCTACCTCCTGGTGCATGTGTGTGTCTTAGTCAATTCTCCCCACGGTGTGGATAAAGCAGTATCCACAGATTGTTGGGAAGACTGAAATAGTGGAGTTTCTCACGCTGTGTGTGGTGTGTAGCCATTGCTTAGCACATTGTAGCTACAAGGAATATTCAGCTCTGCTCTCAGGCCCTGGGCAAATCCCTTCATGGCTCTGAGGCTTGGCTTCTGCATCTGTGAAACAAGAATGTTTGCCCTGCCTGCCCACTTGCCCCTGGTGTTTTATGGATGAGAATGCATCTCAAGGGGACTTTTAACTGTGAGGAGCTCACATGCCGTCTGGGAAGGTGATGCTCATGGCGTGACACAGTGGAAAACATGACAGAGATGCCTGGTTAGGTGTTGGCCTGAGGACTGAGGGCTCCGGAGAGAGGCAGTCGTGCACATTTGGGAAAGGGAGGGGCAGTGTGGCCTGCTGTTGGGGGTGTCCTTATGGATGGGCTGGGAGAGGGGAGTCCTCTCACGCTGCCAGCTGCCCTCTGCCATGCATCCCTCTGTCATTGCAGGCTGAGCTCATAGAGAGCCTCACTCACAAGCTTGAGACCCTCCAGGAGGCAAAGGGGAGTCTGCTCATGGACATCAAGCTTAACAATGCCCTGGGAGAGGAGGTGGAGGCACTGATCAGTGAGCTCTGCAAGCCCAACGAGTTCGACAAGTACAAGATGTTCATAGGCGATCTGGACAAGGTGGTGAACCTGCTGCTGTCCCTCTCGGGGCGCCTGGCCCGCGTGGAGAACGTCCTCAGTGGCCTCGGTGAAGATGCCAGTGATGAAGAAAGGGTATGTGGCCTGAACTCCGTGTGGCAGGTTCTCCCTCCGCGTGCACGTACACAAGAGGAGGGCCGTTAGACGTGATCCCTTCTCTCAGGGTTATCGTCGCCTTGGAGCTGGGGGAGCAGATGAGCAATGCAGAGAAGGGCCTCCTCATGCCAAGTGCGAGGCCTGCCCTGCTGGCTCAGAGCACTTGGGGAAGTAAAGATCGGTGAGAGGGTTTCTTTCTCCCATTCTTCCTTCTTTCCTTCCTCAGACATGGTAAGTGTTGACATTTAAAAAAAGAGGGAGAGAAAACAAAACTGTTGGGGTCAGGAAGAGATAGGAGCATGAGGTCCCGGCTCCAGGGAATCTGCTGGGAGGGCCCTGGGAAGTAGGAGGTGCACCAGGGGCCTCCAGGCCCCCGTCTGTGAGGACAGCAGCTCCTCTGATCAGATCAGATCCATAAGTGCTCTGTGTCAGACTCGGGGCTTTCACACTTCCTGTGCGATCTCATCGACTCCTTTCTGCATCAGTGCTACTTTTTATCATGATTGGTCTAATGGAAGTAAGAAAAGGCAGAATCAGTGGTCCAGTAAATGCATAATTCAAGATAATCGTTTTTGGCTGGGGAATAGTATTAGAAATTCAGCTGAATCTGGTTTTTAAAAATTTTAACCTGCCGGGTGTGGTGGCTCATGCCTGTAATCCCAGCACTCGGGAGGCTGAGGTAGGAGGATCGTTGCAAATTCGAGACCTCAGCCTGGGCTACAAAGCCTGGCAAGTTCGATTGTTGCTACAAAGCCTGGCAAGTTTGACCGTTGCAAGTTCGACTTCTCAGCCTGGGCTACAAAATGAGCTCACAGCAAGCCTGAACTGCACAGCGAGACCCTGTCTCAAAAAGACAAAAAAAAAAAAAAAAATTTTAACCTGAAGCAAGTGTGACACATGTCCACTTTAAGGTTTGGCACCGTAATGATTGATGCGTGTAATTGGTGGGCATTCTCTCTACATTTGGGTGCTTAAAAATGTCTTCAGTTTTTAAAAGGTGCTTAAGAGTTCTCTGTGCAGTATTTTGCAAGGGCTCCTCATTCAAATGCAAGGCCTCCAAGCTGTTTCAGGTCTTTTTGATTAGGGGAAAGAATCCTCTGAAGATAAGATAGACCATGTAAGATAAGCCTTATAGCTTTGTACCTTTGGAGGCATTATTACATAAGACTGGCTAGGTTAGAGGGATTTAGGACAAAGGCGCATGAGCTTTTGATAATCCTAAATAAGTTTATTTGTATTGAAGGATATTTAAGCAATCTTATTTTTTGACATATTTCAGTTTTAATTTTTCCCTATCACTTTGGCCTGAAAAATCAGAAAGTTTAAATATTAAATTTTTTTCAGTTTCAAAATGGCATTCATTATGTGTCAGCACGTTAGATTAAAAACCATCTTAAAGATTTTTATTAAGTAAATTAGCATGAGGTATGCTTCCTAATCGTTGGGCTTAGGTAGGGCATTTAGAATGTGAAGTCAGGATCACAGTTGATCAAGATTTCTTTCAATTTTGATCCAGAGGCCTGAAAAAGAAACCTGGACACATGGAAATAGATGTCTTTAGAGGTCAGAAATACAGTATTCCCAGTGCTTAGGGAGAGGGCCTTCAACTTCAAAGTCTTGTTAAGAGATTTCTGGGTCCCGCTTCTCAAGTTTTTAATTCAGTAGTTGGAATAGAGGCTGAAAATTTGCACTTCTAGCAAGTTCAGCTGGTCTAACAACCACACTGTGAGAACCACTATGTTACTCAAGGTTCTTTGATGTTTATTTTTTTAAGTATCAAGTCATTAGCCCAGCCATTTAATGTAACCTCTCTCAACTTGAAGCTACCAAATGACTTTACAGGGAGAAAATTATATAATATACAACTTCAGGGTGTTAAACTGATTTCCACAGTGTCAGTCTCCTCACTGGCAACTGAAGAGAAACTCAGCGCCCCCCTGAAATGGAAGGGTGGCTGTCTTGTAGTCCTGTGCAAGGCTGCCCTGCTCTTCTGCCCATGTGTCTGTTGCTGACGACCTGTCGCTTCGCCCTGACAGAGCTCACTGAATGAGAAGAGGAGGGTTCTGGCTGGACAGCACGAGGATGCCCGCGAACTGAAGGAGAATCTGGATCGGAGGGAGCGGGTGGTGCTCGACATCCTGGCCAATTACCTCTCTGAAGAGCAACTCCAGGATTACCAGCATTTCGTGAAAATGAAATCAACACTCCTCATCGAGCAGCGAAAGCTAGATGACAAGATCAAGCTGGGCCAGGAGCAGGTCAAGTGTCTGCTGGAGAGCCTTCCCGCTGACTTCACTCCCAAGGTCGGGGCGCTCACCATGCCCCCCGACACCCCGAACCAGACGACGCCTCTTGGCAGATGTACTTTCAGTGGTGTGTTTTCAACAATAACCTCTCCACTTTAACCTCTTCTAAAAATACCCAACCAAAAGATCACCACTTCTCTGAACACTATTTAATCTGAAAAAATATTTCACTACAAACCACCATTCAAACCATGTGGGTTATGGGGTTTTCCTGGATAACAGGAAAAACAGTACTATTCAGGAAGAAGCCTGCTTCTCCTTCCTGCCCTTCATGATTGACCTGTGAGCTTGAATGCTGCTGGAAACTCACCCCTTTCTATACTCTTCAGTAGAAAAAGCATTAATGACACTGTGAGAACAGATTGGAGTTTAGATTTTAGCGGGCGGAGGCGATGTGGGTCAGTGTGTGTCACCCTCAGGAATGTATCCACAGTGGCCTTCCGTGCTGGTGGGCAGTGTATCCTGACAGTAGGATACAAGTACCATTAATGAAGAGTCTGAACCTAAAGCCTTAAAAAGACAACACACTGAGAAGAGAATTGTGAAACCTTGAACATTGTTGTTATTTATATTTCTAAAAATGAAAACGATCATTGTTTGTGTGCTAACCTCTTACTTGATTCTGTTTTATGGTGGATGTAGACTATTATGTTTGAGCTTTGTATTTTGTGAAAACCTTAATGAAGAATTCCAAAGACAGTCACACTGAGTGTGGAGATTTGGTTTTTCTTACACTCAAGCACAAGCAGATGTTCTATTCCAGAGTTAAGCTGAGGATGGGGGCCCCCTCTCCTCTCCTGTCCTCTCCCTCCCCTCCCCTCTCTTCTCCTGTCCTGTTGTCTGGTTTCTCCTCTTGCCCCAGGAGGCCTTGCCATAGCTCCTCATGTTTTACTGCTTGAGCACAGCTCTCACACCAGGAGGAAGTCCAGAATCCAGGCCAGCTTAAAACTCAATGTGTGCTGCCATCCCATGTATGATTTGAATTAAATTCAAGCTACTGAGTGATATATATAGTCAGGCTGCTTTAATAAAGTGTTTTTTAAAAATTAATTTTCCTAAACTGTCAAACTTACCCCATTATACTTCCATTAAAAACTCCCTCCTAAAACCAATTTTGCATGATCATGTTTCAGGAACAACATCTCTGAGGGGATTCTGGAGTCCCAGGTGTGAGCCTGTTAAACTGGAAGGGTGGTTAGAGTCTTGGGCACTTTCTTTGCGACTGGGAGAGAATACCTGGCACCCACATCTTGGAGGAGGAGAGGTTTGTTTGGGCTCAGAGTCGCAGCTGATGGCCGGCTGGCTCCCCGGCAAAAACAGCATGGTGGAAGGGTGTCATGGAAGAGAGCTGCTCAAATCATGGTGCCCACGAGGCAGAGAGAGACAGGACTTAGGGAGGGAGATGCCCCCTTCCAAATAACACCCCCATGCCCACCTCCTAACAACAAGTCAGCTGTATCACTCCCACGATTAAATCACCTTCCAAAGGCCCCACCTCTGAGCACATGAGGAACGTTCTTGATCTAAACCATAACATTCTGTCCCGGCCCCCAAAAGACTTGCATGCATCTCTGTGCAAAATGCATTTAGTCCCTCTCCAGCCAGGCACAGTGGTGCATGCCTATAATCCCAGCACTTAGGAGGCTGAGGCAAGAGCATCATCATGAGTGCAGGGGCAGCCTCGGCTACACAGTGAGTTTAAGGCCAACCTGGACTATATAACGAGTGTTCAAATTTGCCAGATGTGAGTGGTGAGACACATCTGCAATCCCAGCACTTGGGAGGCTGAGGCAGGAGAACTGTTGCAACTACAAGGCCAGCCTGAGCTACATAGCAAGACCTTGTCTCAAAAAAATAATAATCACCAGAATTGTAATCATTCCAGCATTGCTGAAAAGTTCAGGCCCAACATCTCAGACTCAGGGCAAACTCTTAGCTGTAAAAATAAACACCACAGACATAACAATGTCACAGGTTAAACATTCCCATAGAAAAGAATGGGACCAGAGCAAGGTAAGCCCATGCTGGGCATCGTGGCACACACCTGTAATCCCAGCACTCAGGGACTGAGGTGAGGATTGTCAAAAGTTCATGGCCGGCCTGGGGTACATAGTAAGTTCAAGACCAGCCTGAACTTCATGACAAGACCCTGTCTTAAAAAAAAAAAAAAAGACTGAAACCCAGCAGGACAAATAATTAAATCCTGTAGCTTCATGTCCAGCATCCGAGGCAAGTTATGGTGACATGATGTGAACTCCAAAGAGTTTGGGCAGCCCCACACCTATGGCATTGCCAGTAACAGCCCTTATGTCCTCTCATGTCTGCTCACCACTTGCAGCTTTCCTCAGCAGACATTCCACATTCCAGGCATCTGTGACTTCCTGGGGTCTCCACTGCACTTTTGGCTTCAGTCTCACAGCTTCACACACTGCCCTCTCAGGGGCACAGTGGCCTGCTAAGCCTTTCTTTTTGTTTGTTTGTTTTGGGTTTTTTTGTCTTTTTGAGACAGGGTCTCACTATGTAGTTCAGGCTGAACTTGAGCTCACTTTGTAGCCCAGGCTGGCCTTGAACTCACAACGATCCTCCTGCTTCAGCCTCCAGAGTGCTGGGATTGCAGGCGTGTGCCACCACGCCTGGCTTAAGCCTTTCTTTGAAACCTGGGTGGAAACTTTCCTGACCCCACAACTTTTAATTATGTATCCTGATAAAACCAGCACCATGTGGATGACACCAAGGTGTGCCACTCAAGCAATAGTCAGGACCCCTTGGATGAGGCCTCTTAAGTGCCTGTATGGCTGAATTCTGTGAATCAAATCCCAAGGAACCAATTCCCTAGGTGGCCTTTTTCCAACAAGGTTCCCAGAGGCTTGCTATCTTCTCAAAGCAAAGTCTTTAACTTTTATACCCTGTAATGTGAAATGGGGTTGGCAGCTTGCTGAGATCCCCTCAAGGTATCTTTTCTGCTGTCCTGATACAAAATATTTGGCTTTTTATTTTTAGCAACCAAACATTCCTGTGCTCCAACTTTGCAGGCCTTCCTTTCTGGGGAAGATGAAAACTCTTCAAATGGGCTTTTGGCTCCTGGTTTTCAGTTTAAACCTGACTGAAAGCTACCAACAGTATACATGCCACCACCTCACCATTGGCCTGCCTTGAAATTTCTTCTGCCAGATCAATTAGTTTGCTGCCCTTAATCTCAGTCTCTCCCAAGTCTCAGGACATGAGTAAAATATAGACAGATTTTTTGCCAGAGTGTAATACACATAGCTTCTGGTCCAGCTGCCAGTGGAGCCCTTGTTCCCAATAGAAACTTGAGTCTGATTTTCACTATATTTCTATGAGCATTCCAGGCTTTTGAGCTCTGATCAGAATTCATAAAGCTTGACTTATAGCATTCTAGATACGGTTTCTTTAGCTGTTATCTCCAAACTTTTCCAAACTCCTGTGAACCACTTCCAAGGGTTTATAGAAGCATGAGCATGATGGCATGTACCTGTAATCCTAGCATTCAGGAGGCTGAAGCAGGAAGATTGTCTCAAGTTTGGGGCCAGCCTGGGCTACATAGAGAGTTCATCGCCAGCATGAACTACATGTGAGCCCATGCCTCAAACAAACAAACAAAAGACTTGTAAACCACAGCAATGACCCTGCCCTCAGTACCAAAATCTGTTGTAGTGATTTATTCATCACTAGGACAAAATACCTGACACCAACAACTTAAAGGAGAAAAAGTTCATTTTGGGTCATGGTTATAGTCCAAGTTTAGCTGCTCCCAGGGAGAGACAGCATGAGGGGGAAGGTCTGGCGGAGGATAGCCGCTCACATCATGGTGACCAGGAAGTAGAGAGAGAAGGGAGGAGCTAAGAGGGAGATGTACCTTCTGGGACACCCCCAATGACCTGCCTCCTCCCACCAGACCCTTCCACCTAAGAGCAAGTCAGATATAGTGTCCCCATGATCAAATCACTTTCCAAAAGCTCTGCTCTGAGTGTATGAGTGTTTTACAGATAATTACTATAAACCATATAGGCTTTGGTTAGTGGTCTGGCTGGGTTTCACCCCTGGAAATGGCAAGAACTCATTCTTTGAGCAGGTGGTAATATCATGATGAGTTTAGTTTTCTCACTTGTGTTTGACCCATTGCTGTTGACTACCTGTGTTAACTTGGGCAGCCAGAGAAAAATCCAGAGTAAAATTTGTAGGAAATAAGATCAACAAGCATATCAAATGCCCTTTTTTTACCTTAGTATACTTTAAATTACTTAATGACTTTTTTTCTGATAAAGAATGTCAAAGTTATAATTTTGATCCCCAGTATACAAGGCTTGTTTTTAAAGACAAGGCCTCACTATGTGGCTTAGGCTGGCCTTGAACTTATTATGTGTACCCCAGGCTGTCCTCGAATTTCTGACACTTTTCCTGCCTCAGTCTCAGTACATGTGGGTTTTGATTAACCTAGAAACAGTAGACCACCCAAAAGCTTTTTGTATGCAATCAACCAAAGCTATTGCTTTAAGTTCTTTGGAACTTGCACACCATGACTCCATCAAAATGAGTAAGATAGCACCTTGGTATCCCAGGAATATTTTCAAATGCTTCTCTCTCACATTCAGAGGTCTCCATCTGCCAGAGAATTAGTGAGTCAGTGAGAGTATTCAACTACTACACTATGTGATTGTTTTGAAATAAACAGTGCATCTGACTAACATTTCATCAGACTGTGGCCAATCTCAGAGCCTAACTCCATGGTAGTCACCTGTGTCTGCTGACACAAGTGACCTTTGTGGTCAGAACAGACTGGAGTCAGCCAGCAGGTGTTTACAGATGTTCTTAGTGAAAATTTTCAGGAATATTAGGGCTTCCAGTTCCCCCACACGCTTCAGGATTATTCTTGAGGATTTGCCATTTTGCATGTGCAGTCTTTCTGATGACTTTTTTATACATATAAAAGCAAGTGACCCTCACAGCGGAGTGACAGGGGACACCACTCCCTTGTCATGTGAAATGAGTGTGGTACTAAGGGGACTCTGAAATTAATTCTCAGGTGGATGTGGTATTACTGAACAGGACTTAACTTTGAAGACATCACTGACCTACCTTTCAAAGTTTGCTTACAGATGCCCTTACCTCGACGACCATGCAGTTATCCATTTTCCATTTTGCATTCTCCCGCTATTAAAAACATCACAGCAGACGCTGCCCTTCTTCCTCTTACCCACCTCCTCCCTGGAGACCTGAGAGCAGCAGTCCTGAGTGTGGTGCTTGCTGGTCAGGGTTCTGTACACACATGACGTCACTGAGAAAGTCCGGTCACAGTATTTTCAGAGCCACTGCTCAGTGCAGAGCAAGTGGGACAGCCCTACGGTACAAACAAGGACACTCAGTGATGTTCCAGGAAAGGACAGAGTCCTGCAGTCAGGTCAGGAGACCGCTGAGAAGGTCCTGCCCCTGTGGCTGTCCGTGTGGTTGAGTCAGCCTTTCCCCTGCTGTTTTGTTTCCTGTGGTGGCTGCTGCACCCCAGGAATGTAGGGAGGAGCCATAGGGAAAGTGTCCCAGTTTCCCTAAGAGACCCTGGGAAAACCAAACATTTTCTTCTTTGCTCCAGGAGAACACTTCAGGCTTTGTTTTGCAGGACTGGTTTCCGAACTGGAAGAGAAGCTGGACCAGCCCTTAGGAAGCAGAGGCCGCCTTTGAGGTGCGAAGGAAAGGCTTCGGGGGTGGTTGGAGTGGCTGCAAAGGAGAATCAAGGAGAATCAGCCAGAGCAGCCTGGCTTTCCTATCACTCCACGATGTTAGCTCTTCAACCACCTAGGAGTTAAAAGGAAATGCTGCCTCGAGCGCTACTTTTAATCTTGGGTTTTACTCAAGCACCTTTTATTAAGACTTTGGGGCTTTTCTGGACATCTGAGAGCACGTTGGTTTTTATTCTTACATGGTTCCAAATTTATTTCTCTTTAATTTTACTCTGTGATGTTGTGGCTTTATTCTGTTAGCTTGAAATTAGTGTTTCTTTCTTTCAAACAACATAAGTTTTATCCGGCTTACTAGCT